ACAATATTATAAGCTTATACGTATATATTTTATTTATTATTTACTTAATTATATATATATTACTTATTATATTATATCTTTTATTATTTTATTATATAATTAAAGAGGCTTTAAGTTAAGTAACTTAAAGTAAAGATATTAAATAATAATTTTATTTAATTTAAGATAATAATTAACACCTTCTTATAATATTTTAAGTTAATAGTTAATTTCTTTATATAAAAGAATTAATAAAGTAAAGATTAACTTTATATATATAGCTTAAATTACTTAAACCGCTTAAACCGCTAAAATCGCTTAAATTACTAAATGTGGGGTTATAGCAGCAACTGCGAACCTTAGCTAATATGCCACCGTAGCCGATCCATGTCCCAGCCCTTAGGGTTACTTCACTTTGACTGGCCAAGGTGGAGCGCAAAACGGAGTAAGGGCACAAGAGTGTCCAAGGAGGCAAAGAATCTCCGTGTCTCTATTGCATGGCCCGTTCGTACAAGAGAGGCAGCCGGCTCTCGAGATTCGGTATACGAGCATGACAATGAGGATGAGAACAATTAGCAGGCCCGGGTCGCTGAGTCAGAGGACATTGTTCCCGAATACCGCCCTTCAAATACTAGAAGCGCTAGTCTTGAAACCGCTGCCCACCAAGACGAATTTGCCCAGATTCCGTAGCGTGCTCAGTTGACAAGAGACCTCTCGGGGTGCTCATCGCCGCCAGTTAGGTATACGACATGTATCTGCCAACCACTCGTCGAATCTCGGCGGCTGCATTTGCCTATTTCGCTATCCCGGGTAGCTACAAGATACAAGCGTTGCAACGATGCGCATCGGGCGAGGGACTAAGGCGCCTTTCCCTTCCAGCCACTGGTATGCTTCCCTCACCGACAGGTCATGTTTGGTGTTGCGCTAACCTCAGCCTCATGTGCTACAACAGCCGCGGCTGGTGGTGTCTTGTAAGACATTACTTAGAAGCGCTAGTCTTGAAACCGCTGCCCACCAAGACGAATTTGCCCAGATTCCGTAGCGTGCTCAGTTGACAAGAGACCTCTCGGGGTGCTCATCGCCGCCAGTTAGGTATACGACATGTATCTGCCAACCACTCGTCGAATCTCGGCGGCTGCATTTGCCTATTTCGCTATCCCGGGTAGCTACAAGATACAAGCGTTGCAACGATGCGCATCGGGCGAGGGACTAAGGCGCCTTTCCCTTCCAGCCACTGGTATGCTTCCCTCACCGACAGGTCATGTTTGGTGTTGCGCTAACCTCAGCCTCATGTGCTACAACAGCCGCGGCTGTTGCTGTCTTGAAAGACTTCATGAGGCGGGGAATCTGCATTGAACCAATAATCAATACAGCCTCGGCTTCGCCTGTGGCATTGGAACAACTAGATTGACTCGTCTTCGACTTAGCTACTGGTAACTTACCTGGCCAGATCGATTGATTATATGCGAGACAGCAATTTGCCCAATATGCCTCAAGATATAGTGAAGGGAGTACGTGCGACATTTTCCGAAGCCACCGAGGTTGAACAGCTAGGTTCGCACACTTACAAGATCAACCTCCACAGCGACTATTGCGTCGGTAAAGGCAAGCAATAGCCCCCAGCTTCTGTCCTGTGAGACAAAGCTTCGTTCTAACCACAAGGTCACAGTCCCCAACGGAGGCTACACAGCATCATGCATGCTCGTTGCGGCCAACAGACACCTCGCTTCTCGTGGACAGTCCGACACTTTCACAGCCCACTTTGAGTATCCCAATCGAACATCGTCTGGGCCTGCTGTTGTCATTATCGATGAAGTGAAGCTAGGCCGGACCCTTTCAACCTTGCACCTTACCCTCTGGCAAGGCGACCTGCTCGCCAATGCACCCTGGGTCAACACGTCGGCTTCTCGCCGCACCGTGCTCGGCTACACAACCCATGCCAACTTGAGTACCTTAGCAGGCATATCGATTCCCACTGGATATGAAGGGACTCCTGCCGCTTCACTGCCTCCAGTGCCCGAGTTCGCAGCTCTCAAGGCAACCGGCTCGGACCATATATGGGAACAGAGCAGATGGCCCGAGGTGTTGAAGACGTCAGCGTCCAACGGAAACTGGAGGTTTTACTTGCCTCGCCAAGGGCCCTTGAGCCCCGGCGTATTAGACATGTGGGTGTGCCTGGCGAACGGGGAGAACATCACGCAGAGCACTCTGCCATATGCAGCAGACGCGTTCCCACACAGTCTTCACACATTCCTGACCACTCGGGAAATGCGTGGGCTGTTGGAAGCGCCGCCGCCGAACAAAGTGGAGGATGCGACAACAAGGGAGGCGCGAGAAGAAGTGGCTCGGAAGAACAAACAACGCGGAAGCATGTGGTTCCCGACGGTGCTGCTGAACCTGGAGGCGAAAACGAGGCTACCGAAGGAGGGCGTGGAGTGGCTGGCGGTAAGGGTAACGGCGAAGCAAATAAAGGACAGCAGGTTTGATCTGGACGTTGTGATGAGAGATGTTGACGGTGAACTGGTGGCGCTGAGTCAACAAGTTGCCCTGATGGTGAGCTGGGAACGGAATGTCGGCAAGAAACACAAGGAAGCAGCGCTGTAAACTTTGCAGGGGATTGATTTGGGGGGAGCATCACCACTACCTCAGGCACCTACCTAGGTAGGTAGGTACCTAGTAATTATTCCTGGACAAGATGGGATGGGGATGCCAAAGGAGGATTCCACTCGAGTTGATACGGCCGCCAAGATTAGATCCTAGAGTTCAGACCGCTAGCTATTAGCTAGAGAGAGAAGCGCCAACTGATTCGAGGGATGCCTGTAACATTCAGATCCAGTCGGCCGTCTGGCCGCTTGACTGTCCAGGTCTGGTAGTGGTACCTCCAGACCACCAGACTGTTCTGTGCCCGCCAGTCGCTGTTAGTCATCCTTCTGAGTCCTGACTGGTGTTGTTCCCTTCAATATCAAACCTCACCATCTTATTCTCCTCGTTTTCAATAAGAGATGGCGTCTAGGCCTTTTCTTCTCATTTCTCGCCCACTATATTGCCCAGCAAGCAAGTTTCAACTCTTCCCTCGGAGCATTTCCTTGCCTTGAATATCCAAGTGCAACTTCCTGGTGCGCACTGGGTCCGGAAAGGAGCCATCCATCATCTTCGTCTATGAGGCCCATCCTCACATGGTGGTCTAGGTCCCAAAGCTGGAGATTTTAAGAGCGCAATTCCAGAAAGAAGTCAAAATTCAGGATGTTTCTCACGGCATTCACCCTGTCCTTTGGTAGTACAGGGTTTTTTCTTCACCGGCAACGACATTTCCTCGAGTACGTGCGAGGTGCCACCCCTAGCGATGTTTGACTGGTTTACCTACTGACTGCGTCATCAACAGTGTCCCTTTTCTCGAGGACACAAAGCAATTATATCAGAGACCAACAAACGATGGTGGTTACTCAAGTGGAAAGGCTGGAGCATCTGCCCCTCTGAAAGGAATGCATAAACGACCTTGGTCAAGCCGTCACTTTCCTCAAATCACTTAACCTTGCCCATGGTGATTTACGACCCGCAAACAATATTATTAATAAACATTAGCATAATGCCTATGCGAAAATTTCGGAATTTGGAACAAATACAAAGACACTCCTCAGTAGGACCGGCGAGAAGGAGATAGACGCTGAACCCATCACCATTCCACAGCGGCGTACAACTACTGCCGCGAAGCAACACACCCTGAGGTGGACAACGGCGGAAATCCCAATAGCCAGCGCCACTACATAGCTCAAGACCACTCTGCAGATAATTTGTCTTTCAAAAAAAGGCATTCTATCGAAACCCAGAGAAGAATGGGCTACTACAAATGCTTTCTTCGGGAGAGCCTGGGGAACTCGGATTCCCTTGAGAGTGGTATAGACACTGTCGATAAGTTGGCATTCGAAAGCATTGAGCATGCCTTGGGTAGACGGTCCTCTGGAAATTTTATCAACCTGTGCCTACTAGCTACGAGATTGGTTATTTCATGGTCGACTATGTGTCCGCTATGCTTTCGTCTGCCGGTTCTTTGAAATGCCTAACTGATGGAAATCTGCTCCACCACCAGTTCGCCAGTGTTTTTGTACCCAACACGTCCTGGGTGGCGCGAATTGATGTTGACAATCCGACGCCGACAATCGTATTTCATCCAATTCAGCCACCCGTAACGGCTGACTGACTTACGGAGTCGACTGAGGCATTTGCCCACCGAGAAGTATACACTAATATACTATAGTATATTATATTATGGAGCACGATAACTAGGTACCTGACCTGGTCAAATACTTTTTGCCTCCCATTGTATATCAGCATGCTTAGATTTCACGACAAACCGGGGATCAAAGGGTGTCCGTTAAGTGTGAACGTCCAACTTTTCCCATCTAACACCCTGGGACATGCCCAAGTAGCAAAAGCATTGATCACTGATTGGACTGCGGAAAACGAGCGAACGGGATGAGGCTTTAGCTCCTCGCCCATTAGAAGCCAGCCACTTTACGCAAATTCCCCTTGACGAAAACCTTAAAATCCGTCAAAGATGCTCAAGGAGTCAAGGGATTGATGGCAACCATCGACTTCCCCCCTGTCTCCTCTCAATACACTTCCCAGGCTTGCTACAAACACCTTTGGCGAAACGCGAAATATGGCCTCCAAAAAGACAGTCGCTCTCATCACGGGCAGTACCCGAAAAGTACGTCTTGGACCCTTCTTCACAGCCTACGTGAGGGACACTATCGCCCCCCATTGCCCCGCCTTATCCTTGGAGGTCGTCGATCTGGCCGATCCAGGGCTGCCCATTCTCGACGAGACCAACCCGGCGGCCGGGCAGCCCGCAGATGATCCTACGTCCCATTACGAGCACGACCACACGAGGAAGTGGTCCGCCGTGGTGCGCAAGTACGAGGCCTTCATCTTTGTCACGCCAGAGTACAACCGCAGCGTGCCGGCGGGGTTGAAGAATGCGCTCGACTTTTTGTACCATGAGTGGAACGGTAAACCCGCTGGCGTTGTGTCCTATGGTGGAAGAGAAGGCGCCAGGGCGTCAGCTCATCTGCGAGACATCCTGGCTGCCTTGAAGCTAGTCGTGTTGCCTGCGGCGCCGGGGCTGAGCACATCCCGCCGGATGTTGCCCTATGTTGGAGAGCACAAGTCGGTGTCGGACGAGGATAGGCAGCGGTGGAAGGAGTCTGGTGCCGAGGCGCAGATTGTGACATTGGCACAAGAATTGGTGGCGGAGTTGGAAAGGGGAAGCAGTTCACTATAACCAGGTCCCGGCCTAGTTTGTCTATCGGCCAAATACATGGACTACCATGGTACTGGAATGAACGAATGACCACATATAAAGATATCACGAGGGCCACGATTTGAACACGGATTTTGAGTAACTACAGCACCATTTTTATTCCATCGGTTTTTCTATAAACTAGCGGTCCTTGGAGCATTCACTTGGTCCATATTTATAAAACTGCGTCCGTTGAATGGGCCTCTCACAACTCCTCTCCCCAAGGACCAATTCCCGGCCCTTTAAACAGCTTTCCGCCCTTCCACACCCATCCGATATTGCTCTTTTTCTGCAGCACTTTCACATCCTCTACTGGATTGTCATAAACACCAATCATGTCAGCCTCATAGCCGGCCTTCAGTTGACCCGTCGGAGGAGCCTGCCCAGCAACAGTTAACGGCCCATTGGCGGTGGCAGCCTTGATAGCCTCCAAGCTGGACATGCCGGCCTCAACCGCGTATTGAAGCTCAATGGCCATGTTGAATCCGGGCTCGGTATCGGTCCCAAGTGCAATTATGCAGCCTGCTTTGATGGCCTTTTTGTAACCTTCCAGGGAGTGCGCTCCAACCAACTTGGCCTTTTCCCACATCTTCTTGGGCATCCCTTCGCCTTTGCTGTCGAGAAGCAGGTTGACAATCGTCCTGGTGCCTACGAATATGGTTCCCCTGTCCTTGATTAGATCAATGCACTCCTGGTCAGCGAATGATACGTGTTCGACCGAGGTCACGCCCGCCTCGACGGCCTGGAGAATGCCCGGCTTGCCGTGGACATGGGCAGCAACGGTTCTCCCCATTCTCTTCGCCTCGGACACGATTGTGTCCAGCTCTTCCCGGCTGAATTGTGCGTATAGAGGGTCATCGTCGCGCGACAGGACTCCGCCAGACGCCATGACTTTGATGCACTTTGCTCCGCGGCGAATCTGCAGTCTCACCCCCCGACGACATTCATCAACCCCATCGACCAAGCAGCTCATACCGGCTCCGAATTGGCCGGCCTTGACTGACCCAACCCCCAGGTTCAGAAGAGCGTCTCCGGCCGGCAAGGCAAAAACATCACCGTGGCCAGCCAACTGGCTGAGGCAGGCTCCGGCACTGTAGATGTTTGGACCGATAATGATTCCGTCCTCGATTGCCTTGGAGATTTCGCATCCAAAGCCTGCAAGGTCTCTCATGGACGTGTAGCCTCTTTGGATTGCGTCCCAACAGCCTCTCGCAAGACGTGCGCCGGCTGTAGTAGGGTGATCTGCGAGAAAGCTCAGGCCCGTCGAGCCCTCGTCTGCCGCCCTCTCGCCATTTGATCCGGCGAAATGCACATGGCAGTCCCAGAGGCCGGGCATCAGATAAGGCACATTGTGCAGTTTGTGAGGCTCCTCGGTGTATTCCTTTGGGAGGTCGGCCTGTCGCCCAACCCAGTCGATGGTCTTGTTCTTGACTACAAGAGCGGCATCCTTGATAGGCTCACCATCGCCTGGGATGAGCAGCTTTGCTGTCACAATTGTGTAGAATACCTTCCTCACCCCCGTTTTGGCATCGTCGTCTTGCGATTGCGGTTGTCCTGTGCGGACGGCAATGCCAAACCCCGTAGAGTAGATGCGCCCGGCTACGTGCTGCGTGTCGTCGATCAGCTCTGCGGACTCGTAATGAGGAATCACTCGTCTGGTCATCTTTGGAGCTGCCTGAAGAACTATCCAGCTGGTTGTATACGGGAGAACACAGGCGAGAGAGGCTACAATTTGGGCAGCGAGTTTGATGCGGCTTCAAGCTTATCTTGACACATGCTTGCCGGCGGCCTTGTGTGGGGGAGTCGAGCTAGCCGTTGTACCACTTGCCTTTTTGGACATCGAGTCTCCCAACTAACATGGTGACAATTTCTACAAGAGCGGTTGGTTCTCTTTGGTGCAGGTACAATCTCTGATGCAACGTCTTGCAGAACATTCAAAAGCGCAATACATTTCCGTTCCTTCTGTTTTGCAGCCAAACTACACAAAAGACAAATCCGAGCATGGTGAGAGCAAAAGCAAGAGGAAATCATCCACAAGTCATGTCGGCCTCTCAGCTCCGTGGACAAAATCGGCGGGTACGGCTACCGCATCGGCAATCCAGCCCGAAGGGAAATTCATGAGAATCCTGTCAAAGCCGGCCGTGTCTTTCTTATACACGGGTAACATGCCCAATAATAACAATGGTTCGCACCAAAATCGCCGAGGCCGCTTATATGCGCAGGCGCGGTTCAAAAAGAATTCACTCGCAAAAACACCATGCCATGTTCCAGAACTCCGAGTCGCCGACATGATAAAAGTAAGCATAAAGACCTTTTTGTCTTCCCGCAACCTTGGGCTGATTATTTGTCGCCTGTCAACTTGGCAAACCACCAATTGGATCAGCCCCAGCATCCCGGGTGGTGATGCAGCCATGTCTGCTTTGGGATCGTCTTACATGAGTTTGCCATTTGGGCCAATGCCGGGTAATATAACCAGGTTTGCCATCGCCAACTACAACGCCCTGCCAGTACGTGGTCCCGAAAACAAGGGATGGGAAACCTCGGACCGTCGGTGTGCTCTCACACCACTTGCTTCTGTGAATGGCTTGATTTAAGGCATACTGTTGGCTCGCCGTCCTCCGGCTTACGGCTGTCGATCCGAGGACAGCCGTCAGCAAGAGGGAAAACAAAACATGATCCGAGGAAATACGTCTCATGATTGTCCAATGCTTTGCGAAGCCTGCCAGGATCACCGGGGCGGCAGAAGTAGAGTCAGTCTAGGAATCTTGTCAGTTCAGCCATGGCGATACGACAGTCGGTGCTCATCTATAAAGCAGGCCGCTCTCCCCCGGACGTATTGAAGAAAATCATTCAGCATCGAACATGAATCATTCATTTACCAAAAAGCCCGCTCGTCTCTTTCCTCACACCACAAACTCAAACGAAGACTCTCTCTCTCTCTTCTTTCCTCACCATGCTGTCCAAATGCGTCATCGCCGTCGCCGCCCTCGGCCTCACGACCCTCGCATCGGCCCAGCTGCCATGCGGTCTCAAAATCGCTCCCTGCCCTTCCGACCAGCGCTGCGTTCCTGACTCCGAGGACTGCACCGACCTCAACCGGTGCAGAGGAACGTGCCAGTTCAAGAACAAGTACACTCCGTGTGGAGGGAAGCGTGTTCACCCCGTCGCCTGCGCGGCCAGCTTTGAGTGTCGCGATGACCCTCGCCTCCCTGAGAGCTGCGGTCTGGCTTGTGACATTCCGGGCATCTGCATGCCCAAGAATCCCCCTTCGTGTGGCGGATTTGCCGGATTTGCTTGTCCCAAGGGCCTGTTCTGCTATGATGTGCCCAACGATGGGTGCGACCCCAAGAACGGAGGAGCTGACTGCATCGGGCTGTGTTTGTGACTGGCTCACAACATATTCGAGATTCTTCTTTCCTTGTACATGAATACAATAGTTGCACGAAGAAAATGGTGTCCTGGCCGATGAGTTTTGGTGTAATCCTCTGATACTCCTCCCTTGATACGTGACATGCTCTCCCTTGATACAAGAACCGTGGTCGATTTGCTTTCCCCCCAAATTAAAGAAGAAAACAGAAATGAAAAAACCTCAGCCACCGTATTTGATACATTCTGACCTATTCCCAGACACTCCCTTGACTCTGCTTCAAATCCTCCCACATCCCCAATGTTCGTTCCAACGTACGTCATTGGTCGCATCCTTCCCCTTCGGGCTCGATCTTGACGCAGGTTCCCTCGCAGTCGGCACAGAACGTGCGGTTTATGCACGTGTATCCCTCAGGGCAGGGTATCCCCAGAAGAGTACCGCATTTACGTCCAACCGCAGCATCAGTTTCGCCTCGAACATGGGCCACATTGTTGAACGAGGCGCCGACAAGGCCAACGAGGCCCATCGCGTACGCAACAGGGACCCTGGCCAGCATGCTTGCGAAGAAAATTCGGCACACCAGGTGAAGCTGGGAAGTTTCAAAGAATTCTTTGAGCGTTGGGTACGGTGTACTCGGGTGTCAATTGAGCCGCAGTCGCGTCTCAGCGAGGAACAAAGCCCGGTATTTATATCTCTGAGCCGGCCACGTGTGTCACCCTTCACAACCCACATGTCTAAGACATGGCTGTCAGTCCGTCAGTGTAGCGACATGTTTCCTCCCACGAACAAGGAATGTAACCGATCGTGTTTCACGTCGGCTGGAAACAAAGCATTGGTCCCATTGGTAGATGGGCATAAGTTTACATGGAAGAAGCCGAAAAAAACAACAATGTCTCACACATGCATGCAAAACCTCGAGATGATTCAATATAACTCCTTTTTTAAGCCTTGCACCCTTTCGGCGCTGCTGTACAAAAGAACACACGAGGTAGTGTCTCGCACCTCCCCAGCATTTCGCCCCAAGCTGACATGTTGAGAGGAATTTTTGTTTTCGGCCCTGTCAGCTGCTTGAGACGAAGGACTCCCGAGTAGAAGACCGTTTTACAGGACCCCGGGACATGCATCGTCGGTGAACAAAGAAAAAAGGGTTCCCGCATAGGTAGTTGAACAAGAACAAAACGTACAAAACACCGTCAAAGTATGAGCTGCTTCAGGTTTCGCCGCACAATCATGTCCTGCACCGAGTCCATTGTGATCTTGACCAGGTTCGTGTCCGTCGCGGTGGTGAAGTGCCCGTATATCTCCCTTTCGGGGTCTCGGCTGTGTGCCAGAAACTTGTCCAGGAAGTACTTGCTAGCTAGCTTGTAATCGCCGGGGGGTCCATGGTAATCTATGAATCCATAGTTGGAGAGGGGGTTGGACGGCAGCTTCTCCACGAACAGATCCATCTTGTTCAGGAAGAGAATGATGGAGGAGTTTTTGAACCAGCGCGAATTGACGAGGGATTCCCACAGCATGAGGGCCTCGTTCATTTGGTTCTGCGAGACGCGGTTAATACTCTGCCCGCAGTTCACGAAATGTTGTTGCGAGGGGCAAGGTTGTCATCTCACAGCTTGCCTGTCTTCTACAAGGCATTGATTATACCCGCTAATGGCAACCAGGAACAGCAGACAGTTGACGTCTTCGAAGCAGTGAATCCACTTCTTGCGTTCTGATCTCTGGCCTCCAACGTCAAATATTCGATATGTCCTCTGTGCGATGGTGAATTGGCACTCTGTGATGCCCGTCGTCTTCAATCTTGAGCAGAGAATGTCCAAGTCATTGGGAATATACTCATTCGTCCAAAGACGGTCCATGTTGTCAATGAAGCTACTCCGTACATGGTCAGATTTGGGCATGTAGAAGACAGAGACGGGATTTAGCCACAAGAGGGGGCTCATACTAGGCTAGGTTGTCATGGATGGCGTATTCGTTACATTGCTTGATTGCTTCTTTGACACCGGTGTCATGCCATAATGCCTTGATAGAGTCGAAGTATTCTTGCGGGAAGCTCTCTTTGTGTCCTATCTCCTGCCTCGTCATGATTTGGTTCATGAATTTCTACAAGCCCGAGTTAGCTCGCACGATTAGCTGCTGCAGCAGTAGAGACAGATACGTACCTCGTTATCAGGGTTGTCAAACGCAATGGCAAAGTCATTCATAGCATCGTTGATCATTTCAAAGGTTTCGATGATGTTGCGGAAGATGATACGTCGCCACCATTGCCTCTCTTGCGTCTGAAACCCTCGCGAGTATATAATCCTCATTTGCTTGAGTATGGTGGACTTTCCGGACTCTCCGGCTCCTATTTCCGCAAAAGGACCGTGTTAGACTCTAGGGCCAAGAGCCGCAATGAGTAGTATTTCCTGTCGCGTGTCCCAGACAACTTACCCAGCAGCAGGATTTTGATCTCGTGGGCCATGCGCATCTGGTCCTTGCGGATGATGCGGTCAATCTCCTGCGAGCGCGAGGCTTCCTCACCCCCGCGGAGGCCGTTGAAACACATCATGGGAGGCTATCGTCGTCCTGTGCGAACGTCCCCTTTGGTTTTCAGCTATCTGTGCTTTTTTGGAGTCCGACGTCGTCACAAAGCGAAACGATGGACGGGTCGGCTGGGCTTAGCGACGATGGGGCACCTTAATGCCCATCAACTCGGCTTGTGGACCGCCATCAACTCCACTGCCAAGCGTCGGGGGGGAAAGGGGCGGGCAAGGGGCACCGGGATGTTCGTACATACGAAGGGATTGAGAGGTGAATCTTCAGCTTCGTGGCGTGGCGGCGTTGGTGAGCCCACCAGCAGGCTCGTGAGCTGGAGGCGGTTGCTGCCGTCAAGTTCGTCCAAGCACCGGAAGATCAGCCGTTGTGGCGGCCGGGGGTTGCTGTAGAAAACAGCCACCTGCATGATCTAGACAAATGATCAGTCGCGACGATTCATGACAAGGGTCTGGTGCGCCAAGGGCTTCTTGTTTGATACTCTGGAGGGGCCATTGGGCCATTGTGGTGCGGAGATAGGGGGGATACCAGATACGTAATATTCCAAGCATTAAGCATAAAATAGCATAAAATGCTATCCAGTGGAAATACATAAATAAAAACTATTAGACAGGCAATGGGCTACCGACGGCTCATAATGAGGAAATCAAATAGCCCACACCGCCATCGGTCAGTCCTGTGGTAACAGAGGCACACAAAGAAGGCTTGTGTTTCAAGTTTAATATCTCTTGAGTTACTCCCGGGCTTGTGGAGTAGCCGCTCCATGAGCAAGCAGCCAATCACGCTATAGTTTGATTACGCATCTAAAATTCGACAGAGTCTCTGTAAGCTCGCGAGCATCACAAGAGATGCAAGTCTATCGTCTCAGCATCTGCGTCTATAATCTAGGATACTCCGTCCCATATGCCTTCCCCTGCAAACCCAAAATATCCACGAATCCATACCGCGACCAGTCCTGATTACTCGCCATCATCTCAAGCCACTTCTTTCTCGACTCCAGAAACACCTCCATGTGATCCTCCCGACTCAAGTCCAACGGCTGTAAATCCCGACTCACCAAACGAATCCTGCGACATTAAAAAAAAAATGTCAGCCTGTCATTGGCGAGCAAAACTCGTTCATGCTTCAGTTACAAAAAAAAACCACTCACTGAGTACCCGCGGCCATATTCGTCATGGTGGTATCCGCCTGGTCGATCAAAACCTCAATCGCACTATGGACCTCTCCGTTCAATATCTTCCGTGGCAAGTCGAACTCATCGCAAACAGGACGGCCCAACCCAACGCCATGCACCGTATCAAGGGCCTTGACCATGCCACTCGTTGTGCGAAAGCCCCCAGTCACATAGACTTTGGTCTTGTTCAGTCCGGGGACAATGATGTCAGCAAACTCTAGGAAGAAGGCCTCGCGCTTCTTGGTCGACTCCTTGCGGTGGTAGAAACCACCAGCCTCGTAGGTGCCGCCCGATAATTCTACAAAATCAAACCCGCTCTCTTCCAGGGCAGCGCATAGATCCGTGCAGTCATGGGTGGAAAAGCCGCCATCCTGAAACTCGACGCTGTTGAGCTTGATGCTGACAATGAAGGACTTGGGCACACGGGCGCGAATGGCGTCGTTGATCTCGAAAATGATTCTCGCGCGGTTCATCAACGAGCCGCCGTACTTGTCGGTGCGCTTATTCGTCGTCGGCGAGAGAAACTGCGCCAACAAGTAGCCGCTGCGTGTACACTCAGCATATCAGATTCTCTTCTCCTAGACGACCTGTCAATGTTTCTTCTGCTGCCTGGCCATTACTCACTGGGCGCCGTGCAATTCGATTCCATCGTAGCCCGCCCTGTGCAGGTACTCGGCCGCATGGGCGAACCCCTCGGTCACGTTGGCGAAGTCCTCCTTGTCCATTGCCCTCGGCTTCGCAAACGACATGCCCATCCTGTCCATCTTGAGCTGGACGTCGCTGGCCGAGATGGGGTTCTGCTGGACGCTGCTGTAGACCTGTCGTCCGGGATGACTGACTTGCGCGATGACTAGACTGCCGTGCTTTTTCGACACGGATGCCATGGCCCGGAAGGCTTCGAAGCGCTCGCCGCTGAATGGAGAGCCTCGCGGGATGATGGCGCATCCGGGCGATTCGAGATGGTCATATTCGATCATGACGTTTCCCGTCAGCAGGACGCCAAACCCGCCCTGACCCCAACGTCGATATACATTGATGAGCTCCTTGGTGGGGATGCCACGCTTTTCAAGAACCTTTGGATCCCAAGTCGAGAGTCTTTCCGTCATGGCACCCTTGAGAATTCGGTTCGGCGCAACTCTCCCGCTGAAGGCAAAAGCAAGGGGCTCACGCAGCGGCGCTGGGTCGACTTGCGGCGCGGTTACTCGTTTTGGCGCCATTTTTGTCACAATTACGCTAATAATCAAGGCAAAGAGATGCGTACGAAATGCAAAGCGATGGTGGTGATGCTGGCGATGGTTTTGGATGAAAACTCGGGCCGTTGATGTTTGATGGACCCCAAAACTCGCCCAAGCAAAACTTCATTTGGACATTGTTCCCCGCGGATTATCAAGGTGTGCAACACCCAGTGTTGAACCATTCTGCTTTGCATTGCGATCCGGGGCCTGAAATCCAGGGGTGCCGCGGCTTTCCGCTCATTCTTTTTGCCATTCATTGGCGTTGCAACCTGTGCGGCTCCTGGTGGAGAAGGGTTGCATCTCTCAACCCTGACGGCATGATGGACTATTCACAACATTTGAATCCATGATGGGTACGGAGTACAGAAACAGTCATCGCTCAACTCGGTACGTCTACTCCGTTTATCGAAATCTCAATATCCCACCCGAGTTTTACGACTCGTCAATTGCGCCAACGGTCAAAGAGTTCGTACCGACAAGGAGTGGGACCCAACAAAAGAGCTGATTTGTAAGACAAAATGGTCGGTCCAGGTGGCTCAAAGCTACTCATCAATTGATACCGAGAACAACGGGCAAAATGACGCAAGGCTCGTTTTGCCCACATCAGCCGAGGACCCTGGGGACCGACCGACGTGTAGCTACATCTAACGCCACATGCTGTGCATCGTGTTGGCTGTGGGGCTGATGCATTAATAATTCTCGCATTATCCGGCAAAAGCTAGCTGTTAAACATTGGAAATGTGGTCATGAAGAGTTTTTTTGGTTAAGACGTTCTCTTGAGAATATATAAATACTCCAGCCCATGTTAATATCTGCGTCTGGAATAGTTCCCAGCATCCACCTTTCAGTCCTAAACACCAAATACCTCTATTAAGCCTCTAGTTTAAAAAAAAAAAAATTCAAAAGATCGGGAAAGAAAAAGAAAGAAAATGACCGTCTTCCGCATCAACGTCACTTCCGATACCGTCTGTCCGTGGTGCTACGTCGGTCGCCGCCAGCTTCAAAAGGCTCAAAAGCTCTATCACCAGAAACACCCCAACGCCAATGACTCCTTCACCGTCACTTACTCCCCGTACCAGCTAGAGCCTGATTCTCCCTCGGGCCCCGGCCATAGCAAGGACAAGCAGCAATTTTACGTGGACAAGTTTGGCGCCGAACGCACCGCCATGATGCAACAGCGTCTGTCGGCCGTCGGGAACCAGCTCGGTATCAACTTCAAGTTTGGTGGTAAAACGGGCAACACCAGAGATTCGCACCGATTGATGCAGTTGGCCAAGAAGCACGGGAATGAGGTCGAGCTGAAGACGGTCGATGGTCTGTTTGCGGCGTATTTTGAGAATGAGCAGGACATTACGGACTACGAGACGCTGAGAACCGTCGCGCGGCAGGCGGGTATTCCGGGGGAGGATTTTGACAAGGCGATTGTGCAGGGTGATGATGGTGGCAAGGAGGTGGACGATGCTGTCGTGAAGGCGAGGCTGGAGGGTGTGAGCGGTGTGCCGGATTATGTTTTCCAGGGGAAGTACAGGATTAATGGGGGACAAGATGCCGGCGTATTCGTCCAGGTTTTGGAGAAGATCAAGGAGTTGGAGAGGGAGTAGGGTTGAACAGTATTATTCCTATGAATCTATCATGCCCCGGCGTTAATCATCTCGAGATCGATAGTACGTTTCCATTCTCTTTTCGAGAACCCCGTCCCATAGTTTGTGCCAATCTACGCCCGGTACGTAAAACAAGAACCCTAGTTCCTGGCTTGTCCACCAACTTGCTCTATCCATATTACCTGATCCTAGCACGAGGTACTCGTGGTCTACCATTGTCATCTTGAAATGACTCACAACTGGCTCATCTTCCATATCTCGTCTGCGCGGAACGGCTTTATAATACAAAATTTCCAGCTTGCCTAGCCGTACTGGTGGCGCTTCAATATCGGAGGACTGGCTCTTAACCCTGAGTTGTTGGTATTGTTTAACAAACTTCCTCAGACACAAGGATGTGGTAGTTCCAGCGGTGACTAGCTGCTCAATAAGCATCATTCCCCTGTTGGTCCGGATCTGCACGTCAACTCCGCGGCTGAGAGCATCCAAAAGCGCTTTCAAAACAGGCCATGAGGTGACATTGGGCGTCAGGATTATGATTTGACGTCGGGCGTTGTTGAAGAGTGTGAGCAACGCAGCATTCAAAGGCGTCATGGGTGGATTTGAATAGGACAGGAAGGGGAAAAAGCTGAATCTTGGGTTCCTATGGTGCGGCGAAGGCAAAAGTATGGTGGGTACATTGTCGTTGCCGGTAATCTTCAGTAATTTGATCGCCGATGCCTCGTCCTCGGGGGAAAACATTGTTTCGCTGTTTTCTGTGTCCAGCGTCCGTGAGTCCCCATCTGCCATAGAGGAGCCGCTCTCTCTTCCGTCAGCTGCCTCAATAGTAGAGCTTCGGTCCGCCCCAGTGCCCCAGACTCTTCCATGAAACGCCATCAGTGTCTGTACAAGATCGCCCTGCAACTCAACGCATCCTTCAAACCACCTTTCCCAGCTCACATTACAGCTTGGAACAAAGGCCCTTTTCTCGTCGATTATCACGTACTTTGGGTGCATGACACTGAAGGGCGTGAAGAAGAGGCTTTTAACAGTCAGTTGGATGCCTCCGCTCGCCAGCATCGTCTGATCGGGCAGACCAAGTTTGCACCATTGCGACGGCGGATACAATTGCCCGTCCCTAGAGGGTGTATGGAAAAGTTTCTGGAATAGGCCCCAGGACGAGAACCCGATGGTTACTTGTAGCGTGCTCCGCGCTGCGCCGCCGTCAGCTCTTCGCGATGCAGCCAACTGGAGCAGCGTGTCTCGGATAGCATCCAAGGATGGAGACGCTGCCCAATAGCACGTCACGAAGTGCACCGAGGATCTCGCGCCGAGGATAGCAGGAAGTATGCCGCGCGTGAAGATTGAGTGGCCTGTGCCGATGTAGAGAGTTTGTAGTGAGCTAGTCGTGATGAGAGATTCCGGATCCCGAGCATGGTGGTCGGGCAGATCGCCAAGTTGCTCCCTTTGCCGGGACAATAATAGCTCTTTCCAAGGTCTAACGAACGATGCCGGGAACTCGAGGGGCGTTGACATGACTTGAAGTTTCCCGTGAATGTACGGAGCGTCAGAGATACTTTGACCTATGCATGGCGACTGTGACGATGAGGTGGTAGAGTTGAGGTTGGTGCTGCACCTGCGCTCTAGACGAGTCGCCAAGCTCAAGTTTGACCCATGATGCGACACGTGGGGCCAAGGCAAGCTCACCACGGCGCAGCAACGACGATGAGTCTCGCAATTCAGCGCTACTGTAGGCACTGACGTGCAGTATACCTTGGAGTCCCGTGAATCCAATTTTTCTCTATTGTATGTTGTACAGGATTCATGAACAGGAAAATAAATCACGCCGCCATCTCCATGGGAGCGTGAACATCAAAGAGTTGGCTCAGAATCATGCATAACTGCACTGTGTAGAGTCCTATTTCGGATCCAAATTCGCTACACGACGAGAGGTGCCCGCTCGGCTCCGCACATGTCAACTGGTGTGCGTCAATGTTGGCCTCGGGTTGCAAGCTCATCTGTGCCCGGATGAGACGGGTTGACAGGACCCTGGCAGTCCCGTTTGTGGAGCCCTGCCGCCGTCGAGTCCGAGCATATTCGATTTAGGTGCTGAGATGCAGGGAAGAATCGAGGCTGGAACTATGACATAAATGAATGGAGAAAATAAATAATTCGGCTGATGCAAGGACAAGACCAAGGACTACGGAGTAAGTTCTTATTGTCCAGGTTGTCAGTCCACTCCTGAGACATTGACAAGTTGTGGGTGCTCACCGCCTTCCAGCTTCGTGGCAGAATGGATCCCCTCCATGCGCCGCCTCCTTTCCTCAAAAGCTCAGCAAGCACCGAATTCGAGCCACTGACAACGCGGCGCACGACATCATTGCTAACCCGGCCGATTAGGAGAGGAATCCCCTGAGTCCTCTCCATCCCGAGTCTACCCAGCATGATCTCCGGTGTCCTCATATTCAACCAGAAGGGCGAGAATCTCATCTTTCGCGCTTTTCGCAACGACTGCCGGCCCCGCCTGGCTGATGTCTTCCGCATCCAAGTCATTTCCAATGCCCAAGTCCGCTCACCCATCTTGACCCTTGGGAGCACCACCTTCAGCCATGTCAAGCATGAAAACATTTATTTGGTGGCCATCACCAAGAGCAATGCCAATGCCGCATTGGTATTCGAATTTCTGTACCGACTGATCCAGCTGGGCAAGGGATATTTTGGCAAGTTTGACGAAGAAGCCGTCAAGAATAACTTTGTGCTGGTCTACGAGTTGCTCGACGGTATGCAGCCACGACAAACGCTTGCTTTCCAGTATATGCCAACACCGAATACTGACATGAAATGGCGCTAGAAATTATCGACTTTGGCTATCCCCAAAACACCGAGACAGACACCCTGAAAATGTACATCACCACCGAAGGCGTCAAGTCCGAGACCAGGCCAGAGGAAACGTCCAAGATTACCATGCAGGCAACGGGTGCTCTGTCATGGAGGAAGGCAGACGTTAAATACAGGAAAAACGAGGCATTTGTTGACGTCATCGAGGATGTCAACCTGCTCATGTCTGCAACCGGCGCAGTCCTCCGAGCAGATGTGAGCGGACAGATCGTCATGCGGGCGTATCTATCTGGCACACCAGAGTGCAAATTCGGTCTGAACGACAGGTTATTACTCGACAATGACGGCCTGCTCACACTGCCCAGCGGAAACCGAATGGGCACAAAGGCGACCAAGGCGGCAGCTGGTAGTGTCTCCCTCGAGGACTGTCAGTTCCACCAGTGCGTCAAGCTGGGCAAGTTTGATACCGACAGAATCATTAGCTTCGTGCCACCCGACGGCGAATTTGAGCTGATGCGCTACCGCGCTACGGAAAACGTAAACCTACCATTCAAGGTCCACGCCATCGTAAATGAGGTGGGACGCACCAAGGTCGAGTATAGCATAGGTGTCAAGGCCAATTTCGGCTCCAAGTTGTTTGCCACCAACGTTGTTGTACGGATACCCACGCCCTTGAACACTGCCAAGATTGTTGAGCGGGTAACACAGGGCAAGGCCAAGTATGAGCCTAGCGAAAACTGCATTGTCTGGAAGATTGGTCGGTTCACAGGTCAAAGCGAATATGTACTCAGCGCTGAGGCTATATTGACGAGTATGACGAATCAGCGAGCGTGGAGCCGTCCGCCATTGAGCATGAACTTCAGCCTTCTCATGTTCACGAGCTCGGGATTGCTGGTACGCTATCTCAAGGTCTTTGAGAAGAGCAATTACTCCAGTGTGAAGTGGGTGCGATACATGACCAGGGCAGGTTCATACGAAATTAGGTAGGTCGCACCTCTATTCATGCATGTCATCCTCGGCCGCCGACTAATATGATATCAGATTCTGAGGGGCGGCTATATTTCGAGACAAGTCATGCGCAGGCGTTACGGATACACTGGGTCAATGGAACGGCAATGTTGCCATTAATATTGATTTGTTTTTTTCTTGTTCAACGTTTGAAACGGCTAGTGCAACTTGAAGCTGAAAGTGAGGATCACAGTACATGACGAGCTGAGACCAAGATGACCGCAATAACCGCCAGATTGAGCATATCGGGCAGCGCCGCTGGCTTCATTGCGACGCCACGCCCGAATGTCGTGCCTATGACTCTGAGAGGCCACCCCGGCCTGTATCCCCCTCCAAGTTCCATTTTATGCTCAAGCACTATTCTCGTGCGCTGCCTGATAAGCAGGCTCCTTAGAACCATGCAACGAGCGTGGTTTTACAAGCATCATAATCCAAGTCCTACGTGAGCTAGGAGAGGATTGTTACGTATAGCAATAACATGGCACAGCCAACGGGGCGGCATTCCTACATTGAGAACACCCCGAACCAGCAAGCTTGTCGTTTTTCCAGGAGAGGACCTTCCAATATATGCTGGAGTCAATCAATTACAATGCAATTTGAGCCGGAGCATTTGGCAAACCCAGCTACGACCTCTATTTATGAAAAGACATGTCATTCTCCTTGCATGATTGCCACTGCACAATTCTCTATTTAGCGACCTGAACAAAGAAACGCAATATATAGATCCGCGGCCTAGCCACCAACCCTTATGCTTCACCGTTATGGTGTAACAATCAAAGCATGTCGACAGCCCATCCGACGGCAGAACATGGTTGTGAAGCCCTCGGAAAATGCCTCACAGTATGCCGATTCAGCACAACTCAGCAGCTCAGTCCATCTTACCTCTCGTGACGGTCCGAGTACAGTCAGATAGTTGACTCTGTGAAACATGCAACCTGTCGTTGAAGCCCTTGATTCTCTGGCCCCTGACGCTTCGTAATAGGGATAGACCAAAGTCGCTGCACAGGAACATTCTAGAGTGCCTCCCATTCTCGTTCGTTCTCCGTTCCGCATGTTACTCACGGCGAATACTACGCTGTCAACGGACGTTCCGAGTGGTCCGTATGACGACAGGGCCACGAAGTTACAAACCGGCTCCATATCGTCCATAATCTCCTTGGAGAAAAAAGCACATCATT